ATGTCCTCTCACCTCTCTTGTCTTAAAATTATGGACAGTCTGTTCCTAGTCTTCATATATAAAATTATAGGCAGCCTGTTCCTAGTCTTCAAATACAAAATTATAGGCAAACTGTTTCTAGTTGTTAATTTTTTAAATAAAATCATACCATTTCAGTTGATATATTAGCATACATGATTAACTAATATAAAGAAAGTATGTAAAAGAAAATAATTTTCAGTCATATTTCATAAGACATAGTCCCTAATAAAGTCACATTATATTGTATTTCTTTTCCATAAACTGATTATAAATAAGTTGCCTGTGATTATAATTTATAATGACATTGTCAAAACCAGCTTAAAGAGAAAATAGAGTGATTGTATGTTTTGAAAGAAATGAGTTTCTTTTAAATCATACCTGTAAAAAAAAAAAACCAATACTCTACATAGATCTTTGGAGAATTTTATTGTTCATGAAAGCATTTAAAAAATACTTTAGTCATTTTTATTTATGATAAAGCAAATCTAATTCTCTGTTCTAATGCTACTTGCCAAGCTTTAGATCACAACGGCTTAATTTAAGAAAAAAAAATTGCTGGCTAATCCCCTTTGGTATTTTGAAGCTATTTTGGGCACCCTTTGTTCTATGGTACATTACGGTCTGTTTATGGGGAGCCATCGGGTGTTTGATGTGGGACCCTCTGGCAGAGAGGATTGGAACTTGAGAGTCTGGGTGCAACTGGGACAAGTTAAGGATGCTGCATTTAACTTTCTTTTGGATTTGTCTTTCATCTATAAATTGAAGGATTACTTTAATTTTAAATGGAGTAGGGGTAAGGCAGGTTGGTTTTGGTTTTAGAAATTACCATTTAGAGTTTAGTAACAATATCAAAAGCAGGGATGTTGACATTTTTTCAGTTAATAATACTGGCTAAGATACACTTATGACTGAGTATTCCATCTTCCTTTTCCTGAGCTTCCTGATAGTTCCCAAAATTTGCCTTAAGACACCAGGGTAAACCCTCCTTCACAGAACATGTGCCTTAGAGTCATAAATGTCTCATTTCAGGCTCTTGTGTGGTTCCTCACTGCCTGAATCCAGAAGAGGTTCCGCAGACCTGTTTTCAGAGCATTTCCCCAGTTACGATTATGCTGATATCCTCATGACAGAGATTCGTGGGTTTATATGGATGTAGCCCCTTGAATTTCTTTCACAGAAAAGATATCTAACAATATGATACAGAAAAGTAATAAGAAGACTGAAAGATATTGTTCTGTATGTTATTTATTTTTTTTTGTTTCTTGAGTGAAATTAAGGCATAACTACATTACATTAATTTAAATTACTTTTCTTAAAACTCATTTCCTTTCCTGGCCTATAAAGAGCATATTAGCATATACCTATGTGGTATTTATATGCACCTAGTGGTACTTAAGTCCTGTATCCCCCTCACCTCACCCAAAGTGTAAATATTCACCTTTGTGTTTTGTGTCATTGGTTAGCAGCTCTCATTAGCAGTATGGTTCAAGGAAATTGGGATCTCTAAGATCCTTCCAGGAAGCCTGCCGTATCCTTCCTTTTCTAATTATATATCTTTGTGATGCTGGATTTCCTTTATAAATAGAACCAAAACAACATGTCACAACAGACTGAATGCAGCAAGAGACATGAGAACACAGTTGTCTTCTATTGTCAGACATTAAATATATTTGCCCCCAAAATGTAAAACCACGCACTCTAACTAAAAACTTTTTTATTTTGAGAAGTACGGTTTTTTTCATAAATAATACTAACATGTAAATGGTTTATTATCTCTAGTGAATTAATAGATAATACTGTAAATTTTTCTGAAATTTAATTACTAATATAGTAAATAGTGTATATAAAATCTATATAAACAAAATTTCTTTGGGATCCTAAGATGAGAAAATTTAATAATTGTTATTATAGATATTGAAACTGTTTCAGTGGTTCTCAAATCAGTCTTCCATTGCCTTCTCTGAGAATCTGATCCAATTGAGCCTATAAAATATTTAAAAATAGCCCACAGGTGTGAGGTTTTAATGAAATGTCTCCTTTACATTTTCAGGATGTTTTCATAATTTGTCTTTTTACAAATGAAGTATCTATCAAGCAAACTGACAGTGCCCTCTTATAAATTTAAGGAGCCTGTAGAGTTATGATCACTTTTACTTATTTAATTGATATGCTTTGAAGTTTGGCCTAATCTCCCATCTGCATCTTAATACATGACTTATAACAAACATTGTAGATTGCCATCGTTCATATATGACACTTATGGTAATCATAGCATCCACAGCAATTTTAATAAGCATAGAATGCCTTGATCTTAAGTGTACTTAGGATGTTTCTAACCACATTTGCATCCGTTACCTAACTTTTCTTGTTTTTCAATTGATTTCCAGTTTGGGAATGAAGAAGAAAAAGTAATTGGCAAAATAACCATTACTTTGCCTTTATTCTTATCTTAAATCTTTCTTTGAATTGAAGTATAGTAGCTGTACAATATTATATAAGTTACAGGTGTACAATGTAGTGATTCACAACTTTTAAAGATTATACTCCTTTTATAGGTATTATAAAATATTGGCTATATTCCCCATCTTATTGGGCTTTCATGGTGGCTCAGACAGTAAAGAATCCACCTTCATTGCAGGAGACTTGGGTTTGATCCCTGGGTTGGGAAGATTCCCTGGAGGAGGGCATGGCAACCCACTCCAATATAAGTTTAAAGGTTATACTCCATTTATGGTTATGATGAAATATTGGCTATATTCCCCACCTTATACTATACAATATACCACTGTAGCTTATTTTATACCTAATAGTTTTCACCTCTTTCTCCCCTATCCCTATGTTCCTTCTCCCCTCTGGTAATCAAAGTTGGTTCTCTGTATCTGTTGAGTTTGCTTCTTTTTTGTTATATTCATGAATTTGCATTATTTTTTAGATTCCATGTATAAATGATATCATACAATATTTGTCTTTCTCTGTCTGACTTATTTCACTTAGCATAATGCCCTCCAAGTTCATCCATGTTGCTGCAAATTGCAAAATTTTGTTCTTTTTTTGGCTGAGTAGTATTCCATTGCACACCCCATCTTCTTTATCCATTTCTCTGTTGATTGACACTTGGGTTGCTTCCATGTCTTTGCAGTTTCAAGCACTGCTGCTTGTAAACACTGGGGTGCATGCAACTTTTTGCATTAGTGGTTTGTGTTTTTTTTTTCAAGTATATACTCAGAAATGGAATTACTGGGTCATATGGTAGCTCTGAAGTTTTCTGAGAAACCGCCATACTTTCTCCAGAGTGGCCACAACAATTTACATTCCTGCCAACATTGTATGAGGGTTCCCTTTCTTCCATATCCTTGCCAACATGTTTTATTTGTGTTCTTTGTGATGATAGCTATTCTGACAGGTGTGAGGTGATATTTCATTATGGTTTTGGTTTGCATTTCCCTGATGACTAGTGATATTGATCATTTTTTTCATGTGCCTGTTGGCTATCTGTTCATTTCCTCTTTGGAAAAATGTGTATTCGATTCTTTTGCCCATTTTTTAATCTGGTTGTTTCCTTGTTTAATGTTGAATTTTACAAGCTATGTATCTATGTTGAATAGTAATCTCTTATTGATCATTTACAAATTTTTCTCACATTCAGTAAATTGTCTTTTCATTTTGTCAGTGGTTTCTTTTGCTTTACAAAAGCTTTTAAGTTTAAGTAGGTCCCATTTGTTTATTTTTGCTTTTATTTCCTTTAAGAGATGGATCCAGAGAAATATTGCTACAGTTTATGTTAAAGAATGTTCTGCCTATGTTTTTGTCTAAGAATTTTATAGTATCTGGTCTTACATTTAGGTCTTTAATCCATTTTGAGTTGATTTTTATATATGGTATTAGTGAAATGACAGTCACTCAGTTGTGTCCAACTCTGCAACCCCATGGCTATAGTCCATGGAATTCTCTAGGCCAGAATACTGGGGTGGGTGCCCTTTCCTTTCTCCAGGAGATCTTCCCAACCCAAGGATCAAACCCAGGTCTCCCGCATTGCAGACAGATTTTTTACCATCTAAGCCACCAGGGAACCCCATATGGTATTAGAGAATGCTCTAATTTCATTATTTTATGTGTACCTATGCAGTTTTCAAAGCACCACTTGTTGAATAGGCTGTCTTTTCTCCTTTGTGTTTTCTTGCCTGCTTTGTTGTAGATTAAATGACCATGAGTGTGTGGGCTCTCCGTCCTGTTCTGTTGATCTGTGTGTGAGTTTTTGTGCTAGTACCATTATGTTTTGATTACTGTAGTTTTTAAGTATAGTCTGAAGTCAGGAAGCTTGATTCCTCTACCTTTGTTTTTCTTTCTCAAGACTATTTTGATTATTCAGAGTCTTTTGTGTTTCCATACAAATTTTAAAATTACTTGTTCTTATTCTGTGAAAAATGTCTGGTGTTTTGTTAGGAATTGCAATGACTCTGTAGATTGCCTTGGGTAGTACAGTCATTTTAATGACACTAATTCTTCCAGTTGAAGAGCATGGTATATCTTTCCATCTATTTTTGTTGCCTTTAATTTCTTTCATCAGTTTCTTACGGTTTTCTGAGTATGGGTCTTTTGTCTCCTTAGGTAGGTTTATTTCTGGTATTTTATTTTTGATGCAGTGGTAAATGGGATTATTTCCTCAATTTCTTTGATAGTTCATTGTTTGTGTATAGAGATGTAACAGATTTCTGTTTATTAATTTTGTATCCTACAACTTTACAGATTTGATTGCTGAGATCTAATAGTTTTCTGGTAGCATCTTTAGGATTTTCTGTGTACAGTATCATGTTATCTGCAAATTGCCAGTTTTATTTCTTCCTTTCCAATTTGGAACTCTTTCATTTCTCTTAAGGCTAGGACTTCCAAAACTGTGTTGAATAAAAGTGGCAAGAGTGGGAATCTGTCTTGTTCCTGATCTTAGAGGACATAATTTCAGCTTTTCACCATTGAGTGTAATGTTAGTTGTGGGCTTGTCATATGTGGCCTTTATTATATTGAGGTATGTTCCTTCTATGTCCACTGTGCGGAGAATTTTTATCATAAATGGGTGCTGAATTTTATCAAAAGCTTTTTTGTGTCTATTGAGATAATCATATGGGTTTTATTCTTCAATATATTAATATAGTGCATCACATTGATTGTTTTGTGATACTGAAAAATCCTTGAATCCTTGGGATATATCCCACTTGATCATGGTATATGGTCCTTTTAATGTATTATTGGATTCAGTTTGCTAATATTTTGTTTAGCATTTTTGCATCTATGTTCAACAGTGATATTGGTCTTTAATTTTCTTTTTTAAATTTTTTTGGAATTTATTTACTTTTACTTGGAGGATAATTGCTTTATAATATTGTGTTGGTTCCTGCCATGTATCAACATAATTAGCCATAGATGTAATTTTCTATTTTTGTCATATCTTTGTCTGGTTTGGTATCAGGGTGATGAAGGTATTAATTGAGTTTGGAAGAGTTACTTCCTCTGAAATTATTTGGAAAGAGTTTAAGAAGGATATATGTTAACCCTTTTCTAAATGTATGGTAGAATTCACCTGTGAAACCATCTGGTCCTGGACTTTTGTTTGTTAGAAGTTTTTAAATTACTGATTCAATTTCATTACTAGTAATTGGTCTGTTCATATTTTCTATTTCTTCCTGGTTCAGGCTTGGGAGATTGTGCCTTTTTAAGAATTTGTCCTTTCCTTTTGGTTGTCCTTTTTATTGGCATATTGTTGCACATAGTCATCTCTTATGATTCTTTGTATTTCTGTGGTGTTGGTTTTAAGTTCTCCTTTTTTGTTTCTGATTTTATTGGTTTGGGCCCCTACCCTCTTTTTCTTGATGAGTCTGGCTATTGATTTTGTTTATCTTTTCAGTGAACCAGCTTTTAGTTTCACCAATCTTTTCTCTTGTTTTCTTAGTCTCTATTTTATTTATTTGTTTCTGCTCTGATCTGTATCATTTCTTTCCTTCTACTAACTTTGGGTTTTGTATGTTCTTATTTCTCTAGTTCCTCTACTTTTTTATATTTAAAAAAAATTTTATTGGAGTATAGTTGATTTACAATGTTGTATTTGATTCAGGTGTACAACATGGTGAGTCAGTTAACACACATACATATATCTAGTCTTTAGATTCTTTTTTCATATAGGCCATTACAGTGTATTGAGTAGAATTCCCTATGCCATATAGTAGGTCCTTATTAGCTATCTATTTTATATGTATATGTATATGTGTATATGTTAATCCCACTCTCCCAATTGATCCCTCCCCCGCTTACCTCCTAGTAACCATAAGTTTGACTCTACTTCTGTTTTGTAAATAAGTTCATTTGTCCTCTTTTTTTTTTTAGATTTCACATATAAGTAATATCATATATTTACTCTCTGGAAAGTGGACATAAAGTGAACCTACCTGGACATAATAAGGGCCATATACAAGAAACCCACAGCAAACATCATTCTTCTTGATAAAAAGCTGAAACCATATATTTGTGTTACTCTGTTTGACTTACTTCACTCAGTATGATAATCTCTACTTCCTTTAGATATAAGGTTAGGTTGTTTACTTGAGATTATTCTTGTTTCCTGAGGTGAACTTGTATAACTATAAAGTTCCGTCTTAGAACCACTTTTGCTGTGTCCCATTGGTTTTAGATTGTCACATTTTCATTTTCATTTGTCTGTCTTACCTTAAATCTTCTATTTTTAATTTATCTTGCTTTGTAACTAATCTCTTAGAATGTGGTGTTTCTATGTGGTATTTTACTATGGAGTAAATTCCTGTATTGAAAATGGATTCATATAAGATTTGATCCAATTCCTTTGTCTCTACTTAGAATTATCTTAAATCTTTGGAACAAGTTATTGCTTATCTTCTATGTATCTCCAGAAGCATGGAGTATTCCTTGGCAGTTTTTGGCTGAGTTGATTCACAGATCAGTGTAGGAAGTTGTCTAACTTCTGACCTCTGCTGGGAGAGCTGGCTCTCTCTTGAAACTGGACTCTCTCCCTTTACACCTTGTCCTCTCTACTTCTGCTGGGGGAGTTTCCCTAGCCCTCCTCACAGCCAGCAACACCTCTGAAGTCTTCCACTTAGTCTCTAGTCACATGGATTAGGGAGGAAGTTTTCCTCTCCTGAGGTTAATGCAGCAATTTTATGTATTTGGCATTGTAAGTGATTTGCATGATATTGCAAATCTTATTATATCTTGAGTCCTGCCAAATACGTAGTAATTGATTTTTTTTCAATTTTCTTCTTGAGATTATAGTACTAAAGAAGCATCTCTCTTCTGTATTACATGGGTACAGCTGTAAATGCTTTCTTTAAGTAAGCAAAACGTGTGTATCTTATTATAGAAAAGGTGTTTATTATAGAAAAGCAAAAGGTGTGTATCTTATTATAGAAAGTAATGCAATGTCATAATCTGAGGTTTGGAGTATTTAAAGGACTTCGGATTTTGGTTCTGGAAATATTTTTAAACTTTGAAACCTTTTAAACCTGCTATTACCTATCACAGATCTGCCAATCAGCAGATTAAAATTATATCTGCTGCTAAGTAGGTGGCCTTCTGTGTCTTGGCTAGGATGACAGTGTGGTGTTTCTTATGCATAAAGAAAAAAATTTTAATCACTAGGTGCTAAACCAACAGATTTCATTGTGGATTATTTAAGAACTATTGTAGTTTTTGTTACATAGTAGAATAAATGGGTTTTTTCCACAATTTCATTTACGTAGAATCGGTCTGCATTCCTTCATCTTTTCTTTTTTTTTTTTTTCCTGAAAAAAGAAATAGCAATTTTATTAGTGGGTTGCTTTGAAGAAAATGCAGAGAGAAGGAGGGAACTAGATTGGACCTGTGATTACTTTTCATGAGTGTGGATAAGCATAGACTTCAGGGCTCACCAGGACTTTAGTCTTTGGCTTTTTTTTTTTCTTAACATTTCCAAGGGTTTTGTTAGTGACTTTCAAATGGAACTTCAGATCTTGGATCAGTTCCATGAAAAGTTGTGTGGTCTTAGCCACAGTAGCAGCATAGTTTATTTTTCCTTTACTAGTTTCACAGAGGTTAACTGAGCTGGAATTGATGAGAGACTAGCAGTGCAAGGGTATGTGTTTGTGTGTGTTAAGTGTAATAAAAAATGCTTTAGCAGAATTAACATTTGCCTTTTGCTTAAAAAGGAAGCAAATAAAATGATTATAAAATGGTTAATGTTACATTATTTAAAGCTTTTAAAATGATCTCTTACTAATTGTATTTTTATATTGCTTAGTACCAGATTGCATTGTGTGGATTTGCTTTCTTGTTAGATGTACTTCAATTTCCAGCAAAGTATAATTTTAATCAACTTGTTCTAGAGAATATATTTTGATTGTTTAAATCTAAAAGACCATATGACTGTGTCAGTGATTGAGAAAGTCTTATTCTTAGTTCAAATAAATATCATGAAATTAAAATAGGTGCTTTTTATTATGTATATTATGTTTTTAAGAAAAAAATGATCTACCATTTATATGTGATCTGCTTTTTACATATGTAAGTTATTTGAGGAATAGTGAATTTCTAAGGAAAATAAAACTATATTAATACTAATTAATTAATAATTAACTAATAACTAACTAATTAATAATTAATAAAAGTACATTAATACTTCGGATTTCATTCTGTTTAGTAGATTTCAAGTCAAATCCACATGTAGCTCACTTAATTCTCACAACAACCTTGTGATGTCACAGAGCAGATACAGTTATCTCTGTCATAGATGAGATGAGACCCATAAAACATTTGCCTGAAACTTCCCATTTGGCAAATAAACTACTTCAGTGAACATCTTGCTGCTCTCCTGTGGAAGTGAAACAGCCACACTGGCTAGGATTAGACCTCCTTTGTATTTTACGTGTGGGTGAAAAGCAGTAGTAGTACTGTTTGTAATGCACACCGCCTGACCACATACAAAATGCCACCTACTTTGAAATAATGTCTTATCTCATTTAATCCTTCAACAACCTCCCTGTTTTGTATTTGAGAAAACTAAGGTAAAGGGAAATTAAGTATCTTTCCTAAGGCTGTAAAGCCATTGAGTGGTGGGCGCCAATTTGAACCCCAGGAGTTTCAGGTTTCCTAAGTGCTATCCTACATTAGCTTGCAATAGTGATTCATCTGCACCAGTTTTCAAACTCCAAGTATTCACTAGTTGTTCTAATAGCGTCTTTTTGCGTTTGCCTGTAATCTTAGAGATTTGACAATGAAAATTAAGAAATGAGAGGTTTTATTCTGTAGATTTACACCAAAAGACAGAGAAAACATTTGTAAATGTTAAATATCTATTACTCTCAGTAGATATGCTAACTAGTATAAGAGCACGACCAATGTTTGCTGAAAAAGAAGACTCATGAGCTGTGAGAAATTTTACCTGATATGTGTCCTTTCTCTTATATAGAAGGTTCTTAATAATGTAAGACTTTGAGGGGGAAGTAAAGTATGGAAGAGTCTCTTCCAAGCAAGAGAGTCAGTGTTCCAAGGTGAATATGCACATTTCAAAACGCGGGAAGGATTCACAGCTGTAAACACTCATTCTTGAAATGGAAACCTGGGGCCTCTAATGGTGTTTTTCTCTCTGTTCTTCCACTCAGTCATTTGCCAGATGGAATGCCTGTGTGTACCAGGCTCTACCTATTCTGGGCTGAACATACCGTGGTGCTCAAACTGACCCAGGTCCTGCCCTGTGGAGCACATTTCCAGGGGACAGACTGCCATCAGTGATTGCTCACTTAGACCAAGGGACCGTGCCTGTGAAAAGGGGTGGGCCAGTAACATCACGGCAAAAGGACATTAAGTGCTATTGGCTGGAGCTGACACCTAAAGAGGGATTAGCAGTTTCGGAGGTTAAGAGCAGAAGGAAGGGGATACAGGAAACAGGCAACATGTAATGAGAAGGAGCATGGTGAATATAAAGGGCTGAAGGAAGCAGTGAAAACTGCAGGATACAAGGTAGGGCTGCAGGGTCGACCCTGGGAAGGCTTGTTTGTATCTGAGCAACAATAGGAGGGCGTGCATGGGATTTTAAGGGGTGTGGGAACTTTGAAAGTGTGACCTGAGTGCAGATTGTTTTAAGGAGATGGTAAATAGGGTGATATTTTTGGGTACCAGTTTCTTAGAAAAGATATTTTATAATGCCACCGTGGCTGTCCTGAAGTGAAATTCATAAATACATTCTCTATTTTAAAATCTATTTTCTCTGATATAAACATAGCTACTCCAGCTTTATTTTGAATTCCATTTCCATGAATATCTTTTTTTATCCCTTCACTTTCACTCTGTATGTCTGTAGATCTGAAGTGGATCTCTTGTAGAGAGCATAAATGTGGGTTTTGTTTTTGTATACATTTAACCATTCTGTGTCTTTTGGTTGGGGCACTTAATCTGTTTACACTTAATGTAATTATTGATATGTATGTTCTTTTGGGGCTTCTTAAGTGGCTCTGTGGCGAGGAATCTGCCTGCCAACGCAGGAGATGGAGGTTTGATCCTTGGGTTGCAAAGATCCCCTGGAGGAGGAAATGGAAACCCCACCCCCTTCAGTATTTCCTGCCTGGAGAATCCCATAGACAGAGGAGTCTCGTGGGCTATAGTCCATAGGGTGGTAAAGAGTCAGATACGACTGAGCGACTGAGCAGGCAGGCATGCACATGTTCTTCCTGCCATTTTGTTAATTGTTTTAGACTTGCTTTTGTACATCTTTTTCTTTCCCCTTTCCTCCTTTGTTCTCTTGTGATTTGATGAATACCTTTAGTGTTGTGTTTGTATTCCTTTTTCTTTTTCTGTGTTGTATCTATTTAGATTTTTGTTTTGCAGTTATGAGGTATTGGTATAGCAATACCAATACCGATACCAATTGGTATCTTAATTTGAAATACATTTTAAACATCCTGCATTTGTACTCTCCTCCTCTCAAATTAACTGGTTTTGATATCATGTTGGTGTGTAGATGATCTCCTTCCTTTACTATATATTTGCTTTTACTGATGAGATTTACCATTTTGTAGTTTTCTTATTTCTAATTGTGACCTTTTCTGCTCAGAGAAATTTCTTTTGCATTTATTGCAAAGTTTATCTGATGGTGACAAATTCTCTTAGCCTTTGCTTATCTGTGAATTTTTTGATTTTTCCATCAAATCTGAATGAGAGCCTTGGTGGGTAAAATATTCCTGATCAGTTTTTCCCTCTCCCACTTCAAATATATCTTGCCACTCTCTCTGGCCTGCAGAGTTTCTGCTAAAAAATCAGCTATAACCTTATGGGGATTTCCTTGTATGCTATTTGTTGATTTTTCCCATGTTGCTTTTAATATTTTCTCTTTCTCTTTAATTTTTAATCAATGTGATTATTATGTGTCTCAATGTTTCCCTTCTTAGGTTTATCGTGTATGTGGCTCTCTGTGCTTCCTGGACATGGGTGACTGTTTCTTTCTTATGTTAGGAAGTTCTCAGCTATTACCTCTGCAAGTATTTTCTCAGGTCTT